ATTATTAACTTTATACTGAATGGGTCATTTTTACCATTGCTTACGCTTTTGGTAATGGTTAGTAACTCACCCTAGTGGTAAATGGTACTCATAAAAGAGGGCCTTTTTAATAACTTTCAGACGATTTTTGAGACTAGACAAATAGAGTTCCTCCGTTGAAGCATTAATAATTAAGCAAAAGTCGGATGAGACATTGAAGGTATAAAGGTGGCTAAGAAAAGCAACGGCAGTTATGAAAGTAGGGACGAGTCATCATCTTTTGATAACAGAAGACGGAGGACAATGCAGACGGAAACTGTCTGCAAAGGAAGGACTCATTTATATATTTGTTTTGCTGGAGTTGAGAAAAAAGGAGTCAGAAGGGACAGAGAATGCAGAGGGTGCAACAAAGACTAGGATGAGGTGACAGAATGTACAATGGGCAAGTGGAAAATAGTAGTGGCCGAGGTGTGCCATGGCAGCGGAGAATTGGACAGATTTACCACCGCATTTCTCGTACCGCAGCACGCAAAGATAGAGGAAATGCTTCCTTTCTTTCCCATCTCACGCCAGTGACTCACTGGTCCACATAGGCCACGGAAACCGTCGTTAAACCATCATAGGAGCCTCTGTGCCCACTGGTGCAGTGAGCAGGTATGTGTTAGCAGGTGCATGTGTACATGTTTTTTAACAGAAAAGAACGTGGTTGTTAATGACATGATGAAGGTTTCACTGATTTGCTTGTTAAGAGGAAAGTGAGATGAGAGAAGAAAGTGAGGAGTATTTTTTGCTTGCGGTATCTCCGGGCTTTCCACCTCATAGTCAATCAGTGGATGTCATGGCAAAATGGGTGACTCTATTTGGGTGCCCTAGACGGTATCAGTGAAAAGCATAAAATTGGCATTTTGTGTAAAGTGCAAACAGTGAAGGTGGCTGTATGGGTCTGACTTTGAATAGGCAAATATCGCACGCACCTCCGCCTCTAGCTGCAAACGGCTTGCCATAATCGAATCAGACGATTTAACCCACACTAATAACAAACTCTTCTGCTCCAACGGGATCTACTACTTAATTAATCATTTATCAACTAATGACGGACTTTGGAATTAATTTGTGATTTATCCGTTTAATTTAGATTGATTTGCGTGATGTTGCTATTGTGCTAGTAAACGGCGTAGTCTTGCTAGAAACATACATTCAGCGAAAATCCATGAGCCATCAAATTAAACGCCTCTTATGCATGTCAGTGCAGAAATCATTTAGTAAAGTAATGGGGGAGCTAGCGTTACTGATTCCTCTGTCATTCCCCTACTTTAAAGGTACTTTTTAACACACCGAGAAAGCTAGGAGGCTCCTCGGTTAACAGGACACCTGCTTAAATTCCAAAAATTTTGTGCTAGATGCTAAAGCCTTCACTAGTAGAATCGGGTGTTGCAGTTATCTGGATGATCCCAATCCAGAAGAATGTATAATAACTGTGAAGGAAACATTTAAATTCAGATTGCGAAAGCAAAAAAAGTTAAAAATATACACGAAATAACATAAAATATCTTTTGTCATCTCTCAAATCCTTTGTTACCCAAACCGTTTACGGCACCAAACACTATCGCAGTGCATTTTATAAGCCTCAATATAAGCGTACGACGTGACAACGGCAATTGTGCTCAAAATTGATGAAGTACACTAGATATCATCCGCATGCATAAGTTTGAGGCAAAATTTACCGCTTGCTCTCTAGAGTACTGGTCTAGAAAAGCCTTTGCTACAATGATTTGGAGAAATTGATTAAGAATCCGGACCTCTTAAAAGTAAATCTCTACTAAGTGTAGCATACAATTAAGTACGCACCCTGCTACCTATCACTGCTAATATTTTGGTTCTGACTATTTAAGCAGCAGGAGTTGACAATGCGGTGGCAATCTGACGAGTATCGGCCTGAGACGTCATTTTTACTGGTCATGCTCGGCTTGTGTGTCGAAAGGGGCGGCAGGTAGTATTATGAACGGGATGTAGGTGAAGATTTTAGCTATACCTGAATAATAATATTAGCTTGCAAGCAGAATCTGAGGCGTTTGTGACAGATTGCAAAAGCTACCATGCCAAAATGTCAGAATCCGTCTACAAAAGTAAGGCAGGACAAAATCGTCTAAGTGCAGTGGTTAGTATAACTTAACAACCATCACAGCATGTTGGTTTGCAAATTTCATCTGCTTAAGGACCATCATAATCTCTGAGACAACGATTTTAGAGCCTGATCCCGGATTTCGGCTAGGTAAAGAAATAGGCAAGGTAATTTTAAACTCGTTTTAATTTGATAAATTAAGTACTTCTGTGGTGTCAAAATGTTAATGAACGTGGAACATAACACGCAATGCGATAAATGCTAAATTCTATAAGCTCTACCTAACGGCAGACTTGATGTAATACATCATTTGTTTAGCTCTCAGTTTTGGTAACGAGCCACTTAGGGCATCCGTCATCCTACCTCCGCCTACGGGTCATGCTAGTAGCCTTAATCCCATCTGTATATTGACAACACATATTCTGCCCAAGTACTATGTCGTCTTTTATCTTCATAGAAGTCTCATAGAAGTCTTAAAGGACATCCATCCTGATTTCCACTGATGGATGATGCACCCCAGCTGGGCGGAGGAAGTGTATACACTGTGGATGAGGGAATCGGTGACGATCCCCAACAGTAGAGCTGAAAATGCTGTCCACCCTCGACGCCTACCCCAATCCCGTGGTCTGCAGGAAAGCTACTAACAACTGAAGCAACACTAGCCGATAACCTTTTAAAAAGTTTAGTTGCGGAGGCGTCTACCACAAATGTATAAAGACATCAGTTATCCCAACTCGCGATACCTACCCCACTTCTCTTCCAGCTTGTTTGAACCCGGATGGATACGACTGAACAGCTCTGACGTGAGAAAAATGTGGCAAGGAGGAAGAGACGCGAAACCCTACCACCACGCCCCTTTCTTTGTTACATGACGCTGCATTTGGGCCAGTGTTTCTACCACTACCTTTGGACAAGCATGATGGTCCACACATTCCCCCGTCCCCCAATACAGTCCCCCGGCAGGACGAAAATTCAGATCCAGTAAAATTGTCAAGAGTGAGCAGTGACGTTGCCATCAGGCATCTCCTCAGTTGCATAGAAATTTGATGAGTGACGCGATTGGTTCGTGGGTGTTTTTCTTACACTACCGACTACGTTGTGATGCCTGACGCGGGAGGCTGAACAAGGAGGCCGCCGGGGATGACGCTCAAAATAGGCGAGGGCTATGCAATACTTTGGATGTTTGTCTAACTCTCAGTTTTGGCAAAGTGGTTACCTAGGTGATCTGCCATTGTGCCTTCGCCGGGTAGGCTGGCCTCTGGGCTATGCCAACAGCCCCGAGTTCTTTGAGTTTGTCAACAAAACATGTTCTGTCCATGTACTATGACAGAGAATTATTGCGGTGCTACAATGGGAATTGAAATGCACCTACGGGTTAAGGTAGCCTGATTTTAACTTTTAAAACTGTAGATAGTTTAAATGAAATACAGGTTCGAATAAGTTTGAGAACATCTTGTTTAATTGTGAACAGGATGTCAATAAAAAATTGGCTGTGGGAAAAAAGCATACCAGTCTGAGAAAGTTTTTTTGTCTTCATATTTACAGCTGACATTAAGTTGACATGAGAAACAGAAATATGAAACCCATTTGATTATAAACAGTAGTAAGAAGTGACATTAAGTTAAACAAATAGGAAGTCGTCCTAGTTTTCAAATTCATTGACTTCAGTTTTCCCATCCCTGTCAGAAAGTTCACATTCTAAAGGCATTTATGCACCTGTAACCTGGTATCATTAATCATTCATTATTTATTAAGCTCATCTGATTGGATTGTGATTTTTCGAACCATGAACATGGAGTTTGACCTTTCTACCTAACCACGTAATCGGTAGGAGGAATCTTTCTAGGCTAATAATGGAAACTGGACGGTATTGTTCTACACGCAAGTAGAATGGAAGTTAAATACTTGAAATCGCATCTCATAATAATTCACTTTTTACATCGTCTTGACCTATTTGCGCCTAGTCCAAAGCAAAAGCAAATATCCACCACGAACTAATTTTGTGCAAATTGCTCATCCTTAGACGTCTGTTGTTACACTTTGTGGGAGAAAGAGAGGATCGGGGATGATATTTTAATCTGATTTTCCACCGAGTTAGCATCAGTGGGTCACACTGCCCATCACACCGGCTAATGTGCCTCCTAAATTAGTAGGATTTGCGGTGCCGTGGGTAGTGCACTTTCCTCGCTGTAGCAAAGAATTGAATTAAAAAGGTCCTCGTAAAACAACTGTAATGTGGGACATTATGACTCATCAGATGAAGCACTACCAATTAAAAGTAAATGTATTTGCGTACTCTTCAGCACTTCCCTGAAGGCAAACTGAGCCCTACATAAAAGGTAAGCCTACCACAGGCGAACTCTGATTGTGAAGCTTCTTCTGGCCATGCGAGCACAATGTCATGGATGGCTGACAGCCTAGAGGCTGCGCAGGTAATATTTATCACTTCGGTATCTTCAAACTCCTGTCTCCTCTCGTCGAGGCAACACACCAACGGTTGACTCATAATCGCATGCCATCTATTTTAGTGAAATTCATTCATAAAACTACGCCCCAGTGGAATAGCAAATAATGACCATCGCAATTAATCAGCTTTTCCCACTCACCTCGGTCGTCCGCGGCCATTTACCACTTAAAGCGTAATAAGTTAGTCGGATCTCATCAAATCTCAAATTGAAGTTTGAACTGTGCAGAATTATAGATTCTGTCCATTGTCATTTAGATTTACAGGCGTAATTCCTGTCGATTTTCTTCATTACAATTAAAATCCCAAATTGGGAGAAATATATACTTGGACTGAAAGCAGATCATAGCTACAGGTCCATTAGTTTCGAAGGCTAAAACAAATTCTTTTCTGCCTTCAACCCTCACAGCATTGTGTTGCACATCCTGACTGTCAGACGTGGGATTGTTCGTGGAGCTGAATATACCAACACCTGACTGTTTCATCCACCAATCAAATCGCAAAGACAAATTATTAGGTCATACAAGTCTAGTGGTTAGTACTGTGTATACCTATTTACAAGGGTTACTTTCATTTTTACAGAGGCAGAGGAAAGAAGACATGAGGACTCACTTATTCCCCTAGGCCAAGGAGAGAGTTGGCGAGCCTTTGAACAGCCGAAGTACCGTCTCTAGGGTTTGAAAATCTGACTGCCGAGGGTTGGGGTGGCGGAGTACAACCCAGCTTAAAGAGAAAAAAATAGCTTTTTATCCGGTCGGCCGGCAAACAGCAAAGGAGGCGGTGTTTCCCCTATCTCATCCTTTCTTGCTCTCTCTTACACATGCAAACACTGAGTCATTCGCCGAGGTTGTTAATTTTCCCTCTCCCGTTTGTGAAGAGACGCCGCCTTATCTTAGGGCACTACAGAAGCAATGAGCTTTTTGGGGCCTACTCCATCCTTAGTTTGACATATTCTGAATTTTCACGCTATCCCATCCTCAAAAAGCCTAAACCTTAATAGAATTGAAATGGCAGAAGCACCAAGCGTGGAGTGTATTCTTTATCCAAAACTTCTTGATGAATCTGAAGCAGCTTGTTCAAATCGATTGCAATCCACAATCCATACTAAGTATCCTACACGGGCCTTTCATGTTTTAGATAGTTTATGATTACCCCATACAATAATTGGCATTCCATCTTCAGGCAGACTTGGTGTTCATAGGCCCAAATAGCGCGTTTGTATACCTTTTCAGCGTTACAGTCTCCTTGACCACTTGAGCAGTTGAGCGTTTGAATGATAAAAGTGTCTCATTATTGCCCGAAGGAGGTATCTCTAGGCCTGAACTCAAATCGGAATCATAACGACTTCGGCTGGCTAAATAATGCATCCAGCAGTGGAGTAACTACGCGAGCGAATGGTCCGTTGCTGTGGATTTTGTTAAGATGGGATTATTTTAAGGGAATAGTCATGAAGTTTTTGAAATGACTTCAAGAGGAGTTTCTTCACTCTTTTGTCCACTTAGGATGAATAAATGCCCTCTAGTGAAGCTGCCGACGGTTGTGTGTGTGTATGCCTTCCTTCATGAAAAATGAGTGATTTACAGGAGTATGCACGAGAGAGCGAGCTGCTAAAAAGTGTCGGATGAAAGTGATTGTCGACAGGCCTACTTTGCAAAATTTTAAATGTCAAGTCGCTTAAAAAAATAAACAAACAACTCGGGATGATTCGGAGATTACTTGCAGTGCAAGTGAGTCACAGCGTTCGTCGGCTGCGTAACTCCAAAAAATTCTTGTAAAGAAGTTTATGCAATGTTAAGTACAAAAAGGTGTGAATCTCCTTGACTTGTACATTAGACATACATTTACCTAAATGCATAAATACGTCAAAATTTTCTTCTTTTTACATACAGATTTCATGTTATTTTAAAAAACTTTCTTTGGTGTTTGAGATAAAATGTGGTACTGAACTCTTTAGGAAAGTTATTCGTCAAAACACTTTCTTCATTGCGAACCACCTACTTAAAGTATTATTCTTTGAGCCTCAATGGCTTTGTGTTTAGGTGAAAACTTCCTAAATACGTGAATAACTGGTGTAGTTTCTAAATATTTATCTGATGTTATTTTAAAGAAATGCAATGCTTCAAGCATCAAAATGCAGCTTTTAACCTGAAATTATTCCTTTTTCGTCTCTATTATAGGAATATTGCCAGTGTTATCAGTTGCATATTGTAAACTATACAATTACTATTGTAATACGTTGACTGTTTGTTTAACTCTCGGTGTTGGTAAAGGAGTCAATCAAAGGTCCTGCAGTTATGCCTCCGCCGGGTGGGCTGGCCTCCAGGTCATGCCAGTCGCCCTAAGCCTTACTGTATGCCAAAAATACATCTATCCAATTATTATGTCCTCTTTCGTCTTCGAAGAAGTCTCGCAGCGCTACCTTTGTGGAAGCCAAAAGCGAATCCAAGCTTAAAGACCATCTATCCTGATTTCTGCTGCTGTGAAAGCAGCGTATGTGCTGCGAAGGGAGAATCGGTGACGTTCCCCAACAGAAGGGCTAGTCATGATGTCAACTTTCGGCACCTACCTCATTTCCGTGTTCTGCAGGAATGATATTAACAATCGAAGCGACACTAGCAGTGATCCCTTTAAAGAAGTTCCCTTATAGGGCTGTCTACTGTACCTCTATGAAGCGGTCAGTTAGGTGAAAAAGCAACGCTTCCTCCACTTTTCAACTAACTGGATAGAACCCAGGTAGACAGATGTAGCTGGACGGCTCTAAAATACAAACCCTACTTCCATGGAGCTGCGTATAATCCCGTTCTTTGTTATTCGACTCTACATTTAGGCCACGTGTTGGCCACCACATTTCCCCTTTCACCAGTACAGCTTCCTAACAGGATAAAACTCCAGATACAGTAGAATTGTCAATGGGATCAGTGACAATGCAGTCAGACATTCTCTCAATTACATGGAAATTTGATGACTGACGCGGTTGGCTTGTAGGTGTTTCCTTACAGCACTGACCACGTTGTGATAGCTGATGCGGGAGTTTGACCAAAGGGAGTGGCGGAGACACTCAAAAGAGGAGAGGAGTTATGTAATACTTGATAGTTTGTTTAATTCTCGGTTGTGGTAACGGGCTATTTATTGGCCTCGCCATTGGACGACTTGACCTCCGGGCCATTTCAGTAGCCCCCAAGCCATTCTGTATGTCGTCAATGCGTATTCTGCCGTAGTTTTTTGCCTTCTCTCGTCTCTAGGGTAGTCTTGAGTCCCTACGACTACCACTGCGAACCTTGGCAATACGTTTTCCGGTTAATTGTAGCTTTAATCATTATTCCTAGTACGTTACACAAAAGCGATACGAAGGGTGTGGATAAGTAAAAAAAGGCCGACGCCACATTTTTTGTGAACGCAATTACCTTTTTCCGTATATAAAACTGGAGGGTTTTCCAGAATTCGTTTGCGTGATAGGACTATGTGGAGACTGCCGGTAAGCTAAATCACCTGGAATTCTAGCAAATAATAAAACCGTGCAAACCGAAACAATTTTACTCAGAAAATAAAGCATTTAATCAAAAAGGGCTTTAGTCTTAAATGCATTATTGTATTGTTGAAAAAAAAAACCCTCCTCTCCGACATAATGAACTACAATTGGGAACTTAACCTAGTAGGAACGCTCAAACCCTTCATGGCACCACCAGTGGCACAGTAAATCTCTTTTACAAATAATTGGCGTCATCAAAGCCTATCTGTATTCTATTGTCACATTGATGAAACCAAAGTTCCAGGGAAAGAACATGCGGCGCTGTAAGTATCCCGTGCCAGTAGTTTTGATGTTACCACAAGTTTTCATTATCCCATTTTGTTTGTGAGTTTCCTGAAAAAGGAATGTCATGCCTGGTCGCATTTGTTTTCCTACGCGAAGTCAATTTTCTTTTAATGGGAGGTGGGGCGCATTGTTTTGACTATCGCAAACACAAGAGGTGTTTCGATGACTGTAAACTTACCAAGACAGGAATGTGCTTACCTCGGTTGGAACTCTACATCAACGCATATTTGGGGAAATACAAATTAAAGCTTTAAAACTGCTTGAAATAGAGCTGAGTGTTATGGATTTCTATATATATTTTCTTGGTGATGCATGATATGAATGTCCCATCACATTGAGATGCAGTTAAATTGTGTCCGAAATAAAAGCAAGAAATTTATTTTTCAAGTTTCATGATTAATCAGTCACACCACTTGTGGCTCACGGAACGTTGGCCCAATTTAGAGCCTCTGCTAAAGTAAACTTTTTCCTGCGCAATTTCAAAAAATCTTTCGAATTTTCTAATTAAATTGATCACCGCATTTTAGGCAATTCCGAAGTTAAAAAAGGTACCTTCGTGTTGAGGAAAATAATTTACTTAGATGATTTGTAACTTCTATCGCATCAGGCCTGCGAATGTACCTTCCAAGTAAGGAAAAGACTTTTTCACTCAGTGCATTGACAAAAACATGGGTGACGAGGTAATTTTTACTCTCCCCTTTTTTTACCCTGCAGACGGTGTAGTGTAGACCCGCGCTGACTCAGTCGAATGCGCAGAAGGACCTCAACAACAAAATAAGTTTCTGCTTTATGCTAAGCGAATTCCCATCACGAGGCCACCTCAGTCTAGAGCGAGAGCTGCGACCAGCAATGGATAGGCAGCTGGTTGCCAACAATTAAGGGACATTATGAACTGGTCACTGCAGGGTGAGCTGAACCACACTTTCGGGTGTTGACTATATGAATGCAGAGACCCCTCTTTGGGGTGCAAGATGTTGCATTTGCGTTTTAACTGGTAGATCGCAAACACTGCAGCCTTGAAATAGGGACCTGTAAGTTGTAATTTGAAGTTAAGCATCTCTTTCCTCGTTTGTAATGAGGGCAACGGCAATGCAAAGGTGAGTCGTTCCTACTCTGGTTTATGTGTTCAATAGCATCATTATTGGCATTTGGATTGCTCTCGCTTTACTATGCCATCCTTTTCTGTGCTATTTCATTCGGATATGTTATTTTATGCGATACCACTGAGGTTATATTGATACATTTATTGCTGTAAGTCTTTACTACAGTTTCACCACTCTCTGTGGGCTACAAAGTGCCAGTTATCTCCCCACAAAATCGTCCTAATTGTGCGAAGAGTACGTGAATTGAACTTTTAATTTTGACGACATCCAATGCATGTTGACCACTATCTTCACTGCAAGTAGTGAAGTCTGCATAAAGGGCAATTAAGGTGATTTTAGGCTGGAGGCTATTTCCATCCCTTCAAACTACGTTATCTCAACGGCGTAAAAATCTATTAAAAGAGCTACGAAAGGCTCGAGCAAATAAAGTAATTCTTGTGCTTGCAAGGGTCAGGCCTAATTGGTAAATATGTCATTTTTAATTAAATGATTGACCAAAATGTCTATGCCACAATGAATATTTGTCTTTCGTTGGAATAAAAGCAGGCCAAAAGCCGAGACTGCTGCA